TCATGGTTTCCACTTCCTTTTCACGTGCTACAGGCAATCTTCTTGGCCGCTGACGAATAGGCAATTCTTGTCCTGTGTTTATTTTGTGTTGAACTAAGCCAGTCTTTCCTATGTCAGCTTCGTTTGACGAGAAAACATTGGCGTACTTGAGTAACAACTTCTTCGCCTTGACCATTTCATTCGGGGAGAGAACGCTGCGACAGTCTTCTAAAAGTGTGGTCACTCTCGTTTGTCCATCCTTGCTAGGGGTCCCGGTCGATAGATATTCGCACCGACGCAACCAATCCACTTCCTCACTAGTACCAACCAATGTGCCTTTTTCTATAATCTGTTCCTGATCACAAAGGTTCAACACACGTACTCCTGAAATGTCGGTGGTTCTGACCAAGGTTCGAGCCACTTTCCATGGAAGGTCATTGTCTACCCTTTCCACGAGTACACAACGATGAGCTTGCCCAGGACTCCGAGGAAGACTAACCGGCACAATCGTTTCCGATCTCGGCGGAAGAACAATCTTCTTAAGGCTGTACACATTCCCTGGTAACGCCCCTTCCATGAAAAGTTCCTCTTGTCCACATTTCAAAACACCTTGCTTAACGTCGATCTCACAACAATTCTTCCTCATAAAGTCTAGGCCCAGGATGCAGTCGTCCATTATATCAGCCACGATGACATTATGCAGGTAGATCATGTTGCCTAGCTTCAACTCCATCTCCTTCTCTCCACGGACGGGTATGCGCTGACCAGTGGCTGTCACCAAATTAATGCGTTCTCGGTTGTATACGGAGTCCCCAAGGAACCGACTTATAAGTTGAGAACTGACAACCGTGCGAGAGGCTCCAGTGTCTATGGTCAGTTTACACGGCGTTCCGTTGACTTCGCCCTTGATGATTAGGCTGTTCCCATCATGGGTTTGTGAGATCGAAATCCTTGGGGCTCTTTTACCATCAGCCAGCACCCGCCCCGCAGTCCTGGCTTTTACTCGTTTCCCTGCTGCTGCTGCTGGGCGGTGCTATTAGCCGCACTACCCTCTCGAGATCGATCACCTTCCCTTTCTACAGTTCGCTTAGGGCAGCTGGATCGAAGATGGCCCCTTTCTCCACAGCCGTAGCACCTAGGGCTGTAGCTTTTATTGCGGTCCAGAACTGTAGCTGCTGCAACCTCCCTGACGCGGTGGGAACGATGATCCTGCCGCACGGCTTCCACCTCCAGTGCATGGGTCAAGGCGTCCTTAAGCGTCTCGTGGTGCCCGAGCCTCACAGCAGCTCTGACTTCAAGGTCGCGGATGCCGTCGATGAATGTCTGCACCAGGTTCCCTACAATAAGCGCAGGTACAGACTGGTACGCTTTTCGAACCAGCATCTCCACCTCAAGGGCCCACTGCTGCAGGTTTTCATTACTGCGTTGCACGCGATCTTTGAGCTGCGCACGAAAGACGTGTTCCAGGTGAGCGTCGCCATATCTCGCCTCCAATGCCTCAAGGAGCTGCTCATAAGTCACTTCCTTACCGAGAGCTTCCAGAACAGTTAATGCCTGGACGCGCAGGCCTAGGGTGAGAGCAGTCATGGCCTGACTTTTATTCCAGCCGTTCGCTTTCATGACAGCCTTGAACTGGATTTTATAGGCCGACCAGGAAGAAGTCCCGTCGAACGGTGGCACTTTGAATCCACGTAGCGAAGGTGTTGTAGCTACCACGGGAGCTGTAACTCCATCCCCAATTTTGAGGTCGTTCAGCGTTTTCTTCACGTCAGCCATCACATTGTCAACCCGATTGTACACTTGGTCGATTCGGGTTTTAGCTTCCGACAGGCGGTTGTCATATTGAGCAACCTTATCCTTCACCTCACTTATTTCTTTCCCGAAGGTAGCGTGAAGGTTCTTCATGAGAAGTATCTGCTCTTCCTTATCGCGTTTGAGCTGCTCTTCCAACCGACGGCCCTGTTCCTCCTGTTGGCGGGCCTGTTCCTCCTGTCCGCGCTGCAGCTGCTCTTCCAACCGACAAGCCTGTTCCTCCTGTCGGCGGGCCTGTTCCTCCTGTCGGCGAGCCTGTTCCTGCAGCATCATCATCAGAACACCTAATTCAGGTGCTGCAGATGCAGGAGCTGCTGACGGGCCGGCCTCCGTGGTCGGCAACTGGCCCGCCGACGACTGTGACGTTGCACCACCAAATCGTCTCTGGTCCGTCTCCTGTTGGCGTTGACTTCGAGTACGGATACCCTCGGTATCGTCTTTAGGTAAAATCGGCATATTTGATCCCACTTCTGACACCAATTGTTACGAGCTTGAGGTTCGAGACAATTAAAAACTGCCGATTGAATTACCAAAATTGACACTTTAATTACGGATACTAATTACACCTTAAAACACACTAATAATAAAACACAGTTCGCCGTTATTTCGCTTCGAAGTATTCTCTTGTATCGCCAATTCAATACTGCCTCGGTCTTGGTCTATACCGGCCTTATATAGGGCCTCAGATAGTTTCCAGAATCTTCTACTGTAGCGACATCTAGAATGTTCGTGTACATATCGGTCCCGAAATTTCTGGAAGGATCTTGACTCTCCTAGTTCTGCTACTCGACACTAGAGGGCGCTAGTGTACCTAGTATTGCCATGTACAAGACATTAATAGTGGCACGCAATACTTTCATTTACTCGACACTAGGGGTCGCTAGTGTAACTAGTGTTGCCATGTACAAGACATTAATAGTGGCGCGCAACAGTATCATATTATGACATGTCAATTGCCAAAACGAACAACGAAATTGCGAGAAGTGACACAACCCGCATACGCGAAAGAGTTTCGGAGGGTTCGACTAACAAATGTTTGTAAGTTGATGACATTAAAAAGTTGTGCAACACTGCAATATCAGCTCATTACTTGCACAGGGCAACGAATAGCTCTTGTTACCAATGACAGTTGTTTGAATATATTAACCAGGAAAAATCAATATCGCACACCGTGGACCTTAGAAAAAATTTCAACCTTACCGTTTTTCTATTGGATCCCGTCTTGATTTTCTAATGAGCCTCTACAGTTCTTTACTACTGTTTCTATCTACCCAATACCATCTAAATCAGCCTCAAAAATTATAGGCATAGTGTTTACATCGTAAGAACAACTTGCAACTACGTGGACAGTTTCATTTTCAATTTTTTGTGGATCTTTTGAAATTGAAATGAAAAAATGTACAAGAGTACATTTTTTCATTTGACCATTGCTTTAGTGACTATCGGTAATTTTTTTTTCTATTTGGACTGAAGTATTCACTATTTTCTGTCTCATGAACACACCCTCAATTACTTTGACTGTACTCTCCCAATCTCGAATTTTTAAAAGTTCTAATGAAGTGAAAGGATATATTCCTGTTTTTCTGAAGCCTGTAATAATACTTTCTGGACCATTTCTCTGTAAATTGTCCATTAATCTAGAAAACAGTATGGGAAAACAACCTTTCGGAATTGAAGATTGATTTTTTGATTGATCTTCATGGGTCTGAAAAATATAACCTCAAGTGAGTTTGTGTGTCCCAGCAGCATTGGAACAAGCATGCATGTTATACTTTCTTTGGAAACTTTAGAACCTGGAGCTCTAACTTCTAAGTCAGATGCCGGCGTTTTGTCTGGTAAGGTAATGGCACCTATAGATGACACATTAAGGATTTTTTTCTATATCTTGCACCGTGGAAACCACAAATTACAGAATTTCTGATGACTGTTAGTGCTCAAACAGGCTTTGAGTATTTGTCTATCAGCTAGAAAGTTTTCAGCGCCCTGCGTTTACATAGATGTAATGGAACTAATTTTTTTTTAATCACTCAATTGGCCCCTATAGATGACATTCAAAATTCGTTCGGTTCCTAAAGATGACAATGACGGCACCTAAAGATGACATAGGTTTCTGTGTAAATTAAAAAGCCAAATTAGCAAAAATAATAACACATTTATTTTAATTAGAATAAAGAAATTAAAGATTGCCCCATTGCCATGCCCCCTTTAAATATTATATTGTGGATATCGTTCATTACAATTTCTTTAACATTTGTGTTGCGAATTTTTCTTAATTAACTTGCTATTAGTTTTCCGAAAATTTCGTATTCGTCATTGTAAAATTTATTTTGTACAAGGTTGAACGCTTCAATCATTTGCTGCCTAGCAGTGTTTATCTCGTTTTGCATTACAAAACATTAGTTGACAGAACCTACAAATTCATATTTGCAGATGTTGGATGCCAGGGAAGAATTAGTGATGGAGGTGTATTTAGAAATAGTTCACTATTCCAGAAACTAAATCGAGGTGATTCTTTAATTTACCACCTCCTTTCCCACTTCCTGCTTGTGACAATGCAATGCCTTATGTATTTGTAGCAGATAATGCATTTCCACTACAAACAAACATTATGAAAACATACAAGGAAGTTTGAAAAGAAATTTCAATAGATGATTATCACAAGTTAGAATTATTGTGGAAAATGTGTTTGGAGTAATGTCTAGCATTTTCCAAGTACTAAGAAAACCAATACCACTTTACCCGCATCGTGCCTCTAAGATTGTGATGTCATGCGGTTTACTTCATAACTTCCTAAGGAATAGTAAAACATCTAATAATTTGTACATTCCGCCTGGCTTCTTGGATAGGATTGAAAATGATAGGTGATTCCTGGCACTTGGAGTAATGAACAACCAGTTGACAGTGCCTTGCGCTCACAGCCTTGCGCCCGTAGCCAGGAGAAATGCTTCTGCACCATCAATCATACGGGATAAATTTGCTCAAGTTTTCGTCTTAAAACACACTTAATTAAACAAACATATAATATTAATAAAGATAGGTTTGGGTATTTTATCTTTATCTCTAAATAAATTATTTTAGCTAGCAATAAGTAATTTCTATTTCTTACGTATTTATAATTTTCCTATAGTCCTATATAGGCCTAAAAGCTGTTAAGGGCGTCAAAAGCAAACCAATTGACATTATAAATTTCTGCTGTCCCGGCACCATATTTAATTGATCTTATTTAAATGTTCCCTATAACATGCCATAAGGGAGTTCCGCTTCTTTTTTAAATCTTCGACTGTACACTCCCAACTTAGATTATTTTTTATTCTGACCGAAGCAGCATATTTTATATCCTTTCTTTTGTGGCCAACATTTTTCGGGTTCCGCAATATCGGCTCGGACTCGTAATAATTAATAGATTCTAAAATTTTTTCGTTAGACCAATCCATGTCGGAAATACGTCGCAAACCCTAATTCATTTTGACACATTCGCTACGCACGATGTCTGTGGGCAGACTGAAGTGTGGCCGCACACGCAAAGTCCATCGCGATAAAATCCTTTGAAGTGCGAGAATTTACCGACATCGAAGCGATGTGCTTGATGCCTCCTCTACACTACTCACGAAGTAACTTTGACCAAGTGCTCGTCGAAGTCGATTGCAGTCCCAAGAACGTGACTACATACTCGTGCTAATTGGCGAAGAGCTCAGTCGTCTTGAGTCTCCCGCACCTTTAACATGAATAACGTTCAAGAGGCAGCTGCTATAGGTACCTAATTTTGTCATTGTGTGAACAGTACGACGTCAATGCGTTATAATGGGGTTGTTATAAACTAATTTGCTTAATTCCGCGTAAAGAAAGAAAATGATGTGTCCTGCCCAGTTTTTAGGGGACTTGGGGACTTCCCACCCTCCCTCAATCGCGCGCACTATACCCGTCGCCGTTAATCCCAGCACTACCACACTCCAGCACCACAACACTAGGCACGATATACCACTCTCGAAATACGACACGTGTTTCACCTCTACACGAGGCGTCCTCAGGTGAAGTAGACTCTGCGGAGGCTGGCCGCTAAGTAAATTAGTTTATAACAACCCCATTTTAATGGATTTCCGCAAAGTAACGCCTGATTCTATCAATTATGTCAACGCGTTAACTAAATAAATAATTGTGTAGAAAGTTACATATTTAATATTTATATATAAAAAAATATTCATAACTGGCGTAAGCCGAGTAGTGTAGTGATACGCTTTCTGTAATTTCGGGGTACTTCGCGAAGTCTTTTGACTCTGGCGCAAAAACCCGACAATGATCGGAAGTCGTCCGAGGCGAAGCGGAGTTGCACGAAGCGAATAGAAGTACCTCTCTACACTATTCGCCTCGTCTAACTTCGATCTACTTCTCGAGTAGTGTAGAGGAAGCATGAAACTTCGCACGAAGTATTCACGAAGGGCCGGCCACATACATTGCGTTAGGGAAGCGATGTGCTTGAAACTTCGCACGAAGTGACGATGTATTCACGAAGGCCTGGTCACATATGTTGCGATAGCGCGAATCTTCGCGCTAGCGCGTTGTGTGTGACCTAGGCATAAGACATAGCTATAGCGATAGTTTATCTCAGGGATCTGTCAGACTGAAGACGTTCACGCCTTCAAGCGTTTCATGTTGCGTGTTACGTTACATAGACATACCCAGATAGCAAGCATTCTGACCGCGTTGGTTTACCTTATCTATGGCGTTGGTCAACAAGAACGCACGCGTTCGCGCGTTCACTGCTGTTTCGGTGTCCACATCGGAAGGAAGATGGAGGAAGTTGATTATGTCAGTATGAGAAAGGTGTTTCTTATATGATGTGAAAAATAATGATTATGAAGACAAAGGAAATGTAGCAGAAGCACGGTTAGAAATTGCCAGAGAAATGGGGACCAAAAATGAAATAATAAATATTTTTTTTAAATAGCCATTTACAAAACAGTCTATGAAATTCTCCATCTCGTTCTCTATTCTTATTTACTGTGCGCACTTAATGTTTCCTTTTCCTTTTCGATGCTGATAATATCCACAATATCAATAATTCGTTTTCCGATGAAGAACTACAGTCAAAAAACCGCGTACACCGTCCAACAGCGAGATTAGTGGGCAACTGAACACTCGAACGCAGAATGCGACGCGGTACGCTTGAACGCGTGACTGCTTCCTGTCTGATAGAACCCTCAATGTGCCAAAATGGAAACATTAACTTGAGGTTTACTTATGACACCATCGTATTACTTGTTTTTTGTTTCTTTTGATAGTTCTCATGCACAGCGAAGCGCAGCGCATTTATTATACAACCAAATTCTTTGGTGAATAACTATGTTCAGCATTGGACTTTCGATAGGCTGTAACGAGTAATGGATGGTGGTGGCACTTATAATAGTTGATTACCGTTTACTTAAATTAAATATTAATTATCTGTATATCTGTCTCTTTCTATTTTCATTTAGTGATAAGAGAGAGAAACTAATCATTTCTTAAATTGAGGTCGATTTTATGAGTAAGGCCGTGAATGTTTGTGGTGTGTTCCCACGGCAGTCCAATGTTTTTCGAATTGACCTGCTTAAAACATTTTCTACTTTTACTGTGTATAAAAGCAACTCAATGTAAAAAAATATATTGATAATTTTATATCGATTTTTAAAGAATCACTAAACACAATTTGTTTCGAAATAAAATGTAATTTTAGCCAATTTAAGAATACAAGTTTTATGAAAAATATAGATCTCGTAATTCGTTCAAAAATTTTAAATTAAAATTTACATTGATTTTTTTTAATTTGTACATAACAAACATTAAAATTACAGCGATAACCCAGAAAATCATTATGTTCTGTATATGTATGTATGTATGTATTAGTAATATTCCAATGATCTTAGATTGACTCTTTATTTCCTGGTATCTCTTGTGCTCTACAATGAGTGTGGCTCTGCAACGAGAGCTGTCGTTAGTTTCTTTGTGACTATTAAGACGTTTGCTTACAATTATCAATTGTTCCTTGTATAAATGTAAAATGTTATTTTTACTATTTTGTGGAAAATGTTCCTATGTTAGTGTATTTTCATTAACCTACGCCATAACAGAGGCAGCTACTAAGTTTAAGTTTGTCACACTACTTGCAGATATAGCAAACTAAAAGCAGTTGTCGTGAAACATTTAAGCGCTATATAGTCTACCCTTTGGTAGACTCCTTCGCCATAAAATCAGATTTCATTGACTATAAATCTCCAAAATGATCCAGCTATTCTAGCCAATCATTTGCGAGGCTATCGAAATAAAACTTCTGATAATAAGCTTTTGATAGCTGCGCGATTTCAATATAGAAGATGGCCTTAGAATAATTTCTCATGGTATAGATAGGGTGAAACCGGGACCGATGCCTCAGTTTTAGAAAGAGCCTCATTATTTTAATACCAAATATATTCGCATAGATTATCCTTATAATAATCAGAGCACCCCGTCATATGCATAGATTATGCTTAAGACGGGGGATAGATGCCCTTTTAAATAATCAACAAGAATAAGTAGTTCCAATGTAAGATTTATTTATAATCTTGAGATATAGGTAATATGACGCGCATAACCATAATTAAATATATGCATCTCTTTGACAAAGAACATTCTGTTTTTAAGCGTTAACTTATTTAAAACTCATAGAATCATCTATAAAATATTTATGTTCCCGTTTTAACTTAGTAATAATTAATCAACATTTTTTTTAAAAATCAACATTCATATGCATCTCTAACAAAATAAAAATTAACTATTTCGTTAATGTTGGTAATCATTTAAAAATTTTAGGAAATCAACATATATACAGGTAGGCTTCTTCATTTAGGTCGAACGGGGAATCGCTTTAAGTTCTCCACATCTTGAGCGATAGTTCTTAAAAAGTGTACATGTTTCGTGCAGCCACTTCTGGCATATTATACACCATGTTATACACTGAAAGACTTCGTATTCTTGTAGCTACCAAAGCATTCTATGCAAGAAATTTTAATCCCTGTTTTTATTTACTTTTAAATAATAATCATTTTCTTTATCACTTCAATCAGTCACGTTACTCTCTGTTTCTTCACTCGAGTCATGATTTTTGTTTGGATTTCCTTTCTTATCTTTATTATTTTGTATTTGATCTTTGGCTTTTTTATTTACTTTTTTGAGTGTTCCTCTTTTTTGGTAGCTTCAGTCTCGTTGAATTTGATTTTATTTGTTTCTTCTTCCTTTCAACAATATCCCTCTTTTTTTCTTTAGAATTGAGAATATCTGCCGATTTCTTAGCCCTTTTAGTTAAATTTAAAGTAATCTTAAAAGAAGGTAAACTTTGGTCCATACAAGCTTGGGCCCAGCGTGAACAAAATTCAAATATGTCTCATTTTAAAGGTTTGCTAGTTATGTCAAAAAATCTTATTTTTTTGCAGGATTTGTAGGTTATGTAGTAAAATCACTCGTTCTTGTGATAAGTTGTTTAAATAAATTGAAAAGGATAAAATAATGCAATTTTGTAATTAAAATTAAATAAAGTAAAATAAAACTCAACCTTATTTTAAATTGTTTAATTATTTTATTCATTTATTAACTTAACAAAATATCATCAAGAAAAGCAGCCGAAGACTGTACATTTTCGGTTCTATTTCTCTCATAACCCGAGTACCACATAGTGTGGGCGCAACAACGTACTGTACTTTTACCGAACTCGCAGTTCCAATAGTAAGCTAGTATAGCGTCTCGGCCGGTTAAAAAGCTGTCAATTAAAATATAACTATAGTATATTTTTCGACTAGTGTGTAGACTAGACTTTATTCCCGCTCTTAAAAGCCACGTAGTGGCCGAAGTCGATAGCTCTTGCAGCAGATCTTGCCCCCTTGCCCTTGCCCCCTTGCCCCCTCCCCACTGACATCTATTGTGAAAATTCCGTTCGCTCTTATATGTTCACTACAGTAGGAACGGGCCCGTTTTACTTGGTACGTGCCAACAGATATCAAAACTAAGCCGCTGTATGTGTGCTGGGGGAAATCGTTAATATTGTTTACATTTATGTTTATGAATAGGGACCGTCTCATATTTAAATTGGTACTATTAACAAAATCAGCCAGAATGTTCTCCCTATTCATATTATTGTGAAAAGCTTGTAAGAATTCCCCAGCGTCAGGCCTATCTGCAATGAGAGGGTGGAACTTATTAAGTATTGCAGCAGCGACTTTAAAATCATTAGTAATATTTTTAGAAGATTCTTGCCTAAAGATTTTAAAGTCGCGTTTAAAGCGGCCGTTCACCACCTCCACCGCCCATCTGCATATCGTCACAGTGCAACTTTAATTAGCTTCTAATGTAGTGAGCTGAAATTCATCCTCTCTTACAGATGCAGGAATTTGAGTATCGTAGCCAGCTTCATTTAATAAAGGCATTGAAT